AGTCTTTCCTCCGACAGGTTAACCAGGGCTCGTTTGATCTGCCGTTGCCAATCACCCAGCTCACAGTATTTAACAAAAGGGAGCCGCACCCCGTTCTCAGAAAGCACCGCACAGAGATTCTCAAGCACTAATCAGGAAAGCACAGCCGTCACCCTGTGCTGGAAGCGGAGAAAGGCTTCCGGAGCCGTGTTTCCTGCTGGGAGGCCATCAGCAGGGCGCCCGGCGCAGCACGTGTTTGCCGCAGGTGACAGTGGCCGCGGTTGCTGCCAGTGCTTCCGAGCGCGGCACCAGCGAGCGAGCTGTGCTCCTGTCGCACCCCAGCGCAGGCTCTTTTGTGGCGGTTGTGTATTTTATTCCTTACAAACTTCTAAATAACTCATGAGAAAAAGAACCTAAAATACAGACACAGATACAAGGTTTCAGACAAGACTAAGTCGCATGCAAGAAGACGGTATCCCAGGTGTCCTGTGCTGGGAGCTTTATACGCCACCGCAACAAACACACAAACAAATCCAAGCATTTCTTTTTCGGAAGTGTTCCATCTATATCCCCCAAAAGTTTCCCTTTTGCTTTTCAAAGCTGCTATTTCTCTATGGTGCTGTCAGTCTAGTAGGTCCCAGTTAGCTGGTTAACTTACCCAAACTGTTTCACTGCCATCAGGTTTTGCAGGCAAAACCGGACATGTTCATACTCCAGCTCAACAACTTAATGGGTGACATCAGGTTTCTTAGTTCTCTAGGCCTTCGTTTCCTCATCTGTCAAAGGTAACGCATTGATAGATATACTTTGTAGAGAGGGGAGAGTCTAGCTGACACTAACAAACAATCCAACACAGTGGCTTAAAACAATAAAACTTGATTTCCTATTCATGCCAAGTCCTCTGTGGGACCAGAAGTCACCTCAAGGATCCAAGCTACCTAATGACCTTGACCCTGTCATCTCAACACAGGGTGTCCCCCTAGATTTCCATAGCAGGATGGAGCAGAGTCTCCCAATGGCGATTAAGTGTTCTGGCCCGAAAGTGGCACACACCACTCCCTTCCTTGGCCAGCGGCTAGAGCTGAGCGTTATAGCCACACCCAGCCAAGCAGAAGCTGCAAAGGGCGGCCTTCTCTGTGCTCAGGGGGAAGAAGAAGGATAAACATAGGTACTGATGAACATCAGTGATGGTTTTATTACCAGAACTGTTAGTACTAGTGAGGTCATGGATGGAAACATTCCCAGCATACTTCCAAAAACAGTAGAAGCTGAATAAAACTGGAAGGCATAGTGGTGATGAAGAGGATGATGACAGTGACAGTAAGGCGTGAGTTCTTCCTCTGATTTTTCAAATAGACCCGTGGCAATCACACGAAACATGAGTTTGTTGTCAATTCCAATTTTCATCCCCGTTTCCACCACTGATGAGATAAGAGCCTCTGACCACAGCTGTTTTGATCAATAAAAAATCAGGTCCTTTCCATCGAGTTTCTCTAACCTTTCACCCTGTCTTGTATTAAAGGCAATTCCCAACGTGCCAAGCTCTAACAGTCCTTCGCCCTCTGGAACTGGTCTGTTTCCTTTGCACTAATCCCAAGTAAACAACTTTGTGTTGGTCTGTGTTGCAAGACTGTGTCAGCCTTCTTGTTTTTATTCCCTCAATTTACTCATCAGACCACCTCCCCTTATACCAAATCCATTTTTCTCAAATCCTTAGTAAAATGGACACTCTTTTCTACAAACCCATTTCACACCACTGCACACGGACAACAGTCATTTTTCAAATGGAGGGATGATATAATTTAACAAGTTCTAGCTAATTTTTAGGCAGAGCTTTCTCCCTCAACACACATGTGGGGAAAAAATTTTAAATTTGTGTTTGATTCCCTGAATGGGGAAAAAAACCCCACTAGGTATTATTCTGTCTCTTTCCCTGTTCCATCCTCCATTACATAGACTTAAGAGTCCTTGCCGAGGCTCTGCCCTACATGTGTGTGCACTGAGAGATGGGTAGGAAATACATAAACAGAACATTTACACACTTCACTGGGGCTGGTCCCTGCGCGAAGGTGTCTACCGCACACCAAACGTGACTGATGCTGGATGGGACTCTTGCCTTCCGTTCTGAGAGCTGTGTATGTCAGCACAATGAAGTCCTTATTCCTCACTCCGTGTTTGTCTCAGCCTTTATTTTCTCATTCCTCACACTTGTCAGTCCTGGTTCTAATTCTTTAGTCTCAGGGGGGACAATTCTAATAGGCCTTCTGTGACCAAGGAATGGGAATCTACTGTCTTTGGCCCCAAAAGAGCAGCCGCAGCTGTGAGGGTTGGATTTAACTAACACAGTCACTGAATTCTCTGATGAGTTCTCAGGTTCCCTTGTTTGTCTCCATCCACCTGAGAGGAAAACAAAGGACCAGAATCAACTTTTCACACTGGCTCGTAGCCTTCATGTGGTTCATTGCTTCTTCCACGAGTCCCCCGTCCCTCATTCCCTGAGCACACCCACCCATCCTTAGCTTCCCCCACAGAATCAAGCAGGTCCTTACCTTGCTGGGGATTCTACAGGAAAATCCCACCCTCCCTACAGCCGGAACAGAAGTGTCTGCTTCCACAAGTCCTAAAGTTTGATCAGCATCCAGAAATCATAAATCCATGTTTTAAAGCCAATAGTTTCCCAGCCTGGGTCTAGAACACTGCTCCAAGGAACAGAAAGCTGGATGCATTACTCTATGTCTTGACCTTAATCGCACCACAGACTGCAGACTTTTGAGGTTGTTTGCCTGCCTCAGGCCAGCTCTCTATCCTCAGAGATGCACCAGCCATATCCCTGTCTCCTTACAAATGAACACTCACAACAGGAGGACCCAAGGTCCCTTTGTGTCTCCAGTGACCCTGGGACTGCAGTGTATTTCTGAACCTGGGGAAGCCTATTTTCCATCCTCTGGCCCCTCACCAGAGTCTCTCTCTGAACACATGTGCAGAGGACTTTTCTCAATCCCTTTTCATCAGTCAAGAGTGTGGTATGCACAAGCCACTGCTCCCTACACCCCACCTTTCTCAGCACCTTCAGTGGCCAGCCGTCGCCACTTGGGCACCTGAATCTTTAAGGACTTCACAGACTTTCTGTCTGTCTTTCTCTTGTCTCTACACTCTACAGACCCACCAGTATTTATCATCTCTAAGGAAAGTACGTGTCACAGGTCAGAGTCCTCCCTTTTACTCGTTGACACTCAGACATCCCCAGTGTTTGGTGGCGCAAGACACCTGCTACGCATCCGACCACTTGTCTGTGTGCCCCAGAGCGTGTGCCGGAACTGGAGGGGGTTAGGTACTTCTCTTCAGCCCCAGCCCTTCACCTGCACCACGGACTCCGTTATTTTCAGTATGACTCAGGGATCTGGATTCTTCTTACCATGTGGCTCTACCATCTTGGATTCCTTCTCTTTCAACCATGCGAGAGGAGAGAGTTAAAGCAAAAAAAAGGGGGGAGGTGGATTATGAAAACTATTTCAGAAGCCCGGCCTGAGGTACGTGTTCATTCCACTCCATTTCTCAGCCACGATGTCGCTCTCTGTACACAGTAGCCCGCTCACTAGTTTCCGGGATTTTTCCTCACACATCACTCTCTTGAGATAATTTATGGGGCTTAGTCTCTTCTGTAAGTGAATAAAGCTGCAGGTGGCAAATTTGCTGCCTAAACCACCAACCCAGACAGAAAGAATGAAGCAAGGCTGTATTTATTTTTTTTCTTCTCTTATCGGCTCATTCCCCTGATCCCAGTTCTTTCCTGAGTCCTTTCTCTCCATCTTGACTCCATGGAGGAATCACAGCCGTACCTGGGGCCGTGCGTCCTTCCCTCCACAAGCACACACACGTGAGATGCCAGCCCGTGGGCTCCTCGTCGCAGCTCTGGCAGAGCAGCACTGACTGAGATGACAAGTTAGTGTTATTTCCCCACGTTTCAGGGGACAGCAAGGCATAATGCAGGTGCCATTATAGAACCTAGAAACTCTGTCCGACAATACAGCAGAGGGAGCTGCATGGAAGGGAGAGGATGGCATAGGAATGGGGGCCTTAGAGCGTTTGTCGTTGGAGCCTCCAGCCTCCAGGCGGACAGATCTAAGTTTGCAGAGGCGGAAGAGTGAAGCACTCAGAGGGAGGGCGGGGTGAGGACCCATCGCCAGCAGAGCCGGAGCACAGGTGCTGTCCCCGCCTGCGGTTTCAGCCTGCCGGGCTCCGCGCTCCCAGGCAGCACACATGTGCCCAGACTTACAGAAACTCACCAAGAGAAGCTCACCTCCAGGGCAGGGGGGCTCGAGGGCCAAGCCGAGGTTAAGTAATGGGTCACTGGATAAAACATATAGAAAAACCCTGAATTAAAGGGTAACCTGAAAACATTGAAGTTCTGTAGCGTTAAATAAACCTTCTAAAGTTCAGGTGCCAATCAGAGCTTCAGTTTGTAAAAGCAGAAATCTCAGAGGCTAACTCTGCTGACGGATTGCTAGCCTTTCCTTCCGTGGGTTAGGCCGGAATGTCACTGGAAACAATGTTCTGTGTGTTACTGCGAACGGTAACACCCAGCTACAGCCAGCTGCAGGGTGTGAGAAAGCACAGGGCAGAAAGTCTTTGTAATTTCATTTCTTCATTGTCACTCAGAATCGCCATTTTCCCTTAATTCAGTTCATGTAAAAATAACTGCAAGTAACCGAAAATTGTGCTGCGTCTCTCATCTACTAACCGAGGTTCTCCTAGAATATGCGACACTTAACATACTATTGATACCACCGAATTGCAGATCTAGGGGAATGAGAACGCACTGCCTTCCTAGCCCAGAAAGCAAGGAGCATTTTGTAGGAAACTTAGATGTGTATTTCATGTTGATATTATTTTAGTGGGCTTTTTCTCTCAACTTTTTGATCATAGATTTCACCAGGTAACTTTTCAAAATATTGAGTGGAGAGAGTTCTACTTCAGGGAGACCGAAATTGGGCAGGAAAGAGGATTAGAAGCAACATGGAGCAAGGAAAATAGCAGACAGGGTGACAAACTTCGATGTAATGTGAAGTTTTCCTTGTTCTTTATTCTTGTGATTAGGGAAGCTGGATATTGAGTATGACAAAGAGGGTGTGTATGCCACCAAGAAGAAAAATAAGCAAATGAGGAAGGAATTAAGAGCTGCTTCAGATGTCAGGAATTATGGGGACAAATCCACTACAGAGTATGTTTGTCCTGCTGATGGTGACTATTCCATTGTTAGGATCCACACACACGCTGATCACTGGTATACCTACCCAGACTAAGTGTTTGGTCTTTTCTGGTGCTTGGTTGGGCATATATCTTGATTTTTTTGTAATTACTTATTTAAATATTAAGTATATAAATTTTCGCTGTATTTTATTATAGCACAGGGAATTTATATGCTCAGAGTATATGTTCCTGAAAGCTGGCATCCTAAATATCTACTTAAAGTGAATCCAAAAAAAAGGTGCTGTGGAACTCTAGGAAGTGGTGAAAGCTAAAAATGCTAAATTTTGTTAATATTTGTTTATCCCCTGAAATACATATATATGTAAAATCACACTAGATCATGGGACATAACGGTGAGTGAATATCGCAGAGAGAGGGTGATCAAAAGACCTCTAGCATTCTCTCACGACAACATTTTGGGACCTTCAGAATGTGACCTGTTTTGCAGATGTAATTAGGTAAGATAAGGTCGTACCGGATAAGGGTGGACCCTAATCCAATGAGTGGTATCCTTAGAAGAGAAAAATTTAGACACAGACACATACATAGAGTGAAGAAATGTGAAGACAAAGGGAAAACCACATGACAAAGGAGGCAGAGATTGGAGTGATGCATCTTCAGACCAAGAAATGCCAAAGATGGCTGGCTTCTGCCAGAACTAGGAAAGAAACAAAGAGGGATCCTCCCCTCCAGCCTTCAGAGGGAGCAGGGCCTAGCCGACACCTTGACTTCGGACTTCTGACCTCCAGAACAATGAGCCTGGAAAATCCAGTTCGTGGTGCTTAGTCACAGCAGCTCTGGAAAACTCCCTCGGAGCAGTAGCTGGTGCTCTTACGTGAGCACGGTCACCTTTCCTGCTACAGGGGTATCTTGCTTTCTTCCCACATCCCTGAGTTCCTGCCCAGGGCTCAGCTTCCTTTCATTCTGAAAGATACAGATTCTAAGTCCCTTCTTCTGAGTTGAGACAACCATGAGCAGGGGGTCACTGCACACAAACCCACAAATTAGAATGGAGATAGCGAGCACGTTGCAACAGTAGAGACTGGGTTACTCAGAGCATCTGTGAAGGTGTCCAGCTTCACACCTCTGATGATGAGATGAGCATTCTAACCATTCGGAATTTTCACAGGAGGTTTTTGCAGAGGACTTTCGGAAAGATCTCTGGAAAGCAAGCACCCTGGTCCTCTCCATAAAATAAATGGGGACTCAAACACACTCTATCTCAATCAAAATAACCATGACAGTCTCACCAATAACCTTCCGTGGGACATTTATTCATTACTCTCCTACTTGGAATTGGGCAACTGCCTGATATAATAAAACAAAAAGCCATATATGGGCACATATGTGCACAGATCTCTCAAGTGCTCATTTTAAAATTCAGTAAATCCCTGGAGAAATGCGTGCACTATAAATGCATAGGAGGCAATTTGTCAGGTAAAAAGAGAACATTTATTTTTGATTTCAGATAAAAAGAGAAAATCAATTTATCCTAAGACTTTATATGAGTCATTTCAGTTACCGGCATTCCCTTGCTTTAGGATATGGGCAAAGGTAGGTTAGACTGAGCTCCCATTAATGACTAGTGACCTAGACGGACCGATTTCACAATCCTTGACCTGACTTCAGGTCATTCTGGGAAGGCCCCTGAGGAGGAGCAAAGTCTGAAGTCATGTTGAGGAAACACTGACCCTCTTGTGATGCTTTTTCACACCTCCAAGTTTTATATAGTGAAGAGCTCCAATTTACTTTTT